GGTCCATGGCTGTTCACGGGACGGTGCATGCTCTCGATAGTTTATCTCCGGAGCTGAGCTGCTGAGGTTGGAAACACTTGCTGTTATTGACTGACCTCCCTGGAGAAACTTGGCTTCCTCACCAACACAAGAGAACCGAGGAAAATTGAGGTGATCTCACTGCACCTGGGAGACTGGGCGTCTGTGCCAGGGCTGGGGGGGAGGCCGTAGGGTGTGTCCAGGCCCGTCTGAGGCCCAGTCCCCACGCATCAGCCTCAGAGTCAAGGCTGTGTGGGTTGACCACGGGAGCAGCTAATTCCTGGGAGGGTAGCTCCTCTCTTAGCTGCTTCTTCCTCTTCCTCTTCCTCACACCCCCTTCCTTCTGCCAATACTTATTTTCCTCCCCTCCTCCCTTTTGATTTGTGTACCAGTACTGGGGCTTGAACTCAGGGCCTGCGCCCTGTCTCAGCAGAGGCTCTTTCTTTGGAACAAAGTCCCTTTCTTTGGAGCCTTGAGGACATCGAGGCCCAAGACACCAACAGTGGCTTGGGGTGGAGACCTTCTGTCCTCATGGTTGCCTGCAAATGGCAGGCGGGGGAGGGGGAGGGGGAAGCAGGTGATGGGCCCCAGGAGAGCAGTGGTAAGAGGAAGCATGGTGCAGACAATGACAGATGGAGATGGAGCTGGACAGGTGGGGAGGAGGGGAGGAAAGGCCAGCGCCCTCTTGTGGAGTCCTAGATGCAGGTGAGGCTCTCCTGCGTGTGCCTGTCCCCAGCATCCTAATAGTTGTCTTTGTTTTGTTTTGTTATTGTTGCTCATTTGTGCCCTAACTGGGGCTTGAACTCAGGGTCTGGGTGCTGTCTTTAGCTCAAGTGGGTAGGCTGATGCTCTACCACTTGAGCCACAGCTCCACTTCTGGCCTTTTGCTGGATCATTGGAGTTAAGAATCTCACAGACTTTCCTGACTGGGGTTGGCTGTGAAGCATGATCCTCAGGTCTCAGCCTCTGGCCTGTCTAGGCACTGGCATCGAACTGTGTTTATTATTCTTAGAGGCTACACCTCTAAGTCGCCCTTCCCATACATGTGCACACACACACCGTACATGCTACACACAGGGCACATCTGTCTCCCCCCTCCCCCATGCATACCCGTCCACTGAGTGTCTCACACACACATATACACACCCCACTGCCTACCTGCCATCCTGGTACAGGCTTTGCCCCTGCTGAGCTGACTCCTGTAGCCCAGGTCTTCCATCCTGAGGAGCTGTGTAGCCTGGCTTCAGGGAGCAGGTGAAGGAGCTACCGTAGCTGGGGTCTGGGAGGTTGGGGGTAGGGGGGCCTGAGTGGTTAGGGGCCTGGGGGGTTGGGCAGATTGCCCAGTGTGCAGTGAGGTCTGAGATTCCCTCAAGCATCGGACCGCATTTCTCCAGCCCTGTTAGGCAGGATGGCAGCCAGCCACCCAGACTAGCATTGTTTGGTGATAAGATTTGGCTGTTTGTCCCCAGGCCTCAAGGGCATGTGTGCTACCCACAGCCCTGGCCTGGATGCTTGTCTTGGCAGCTGGGCAGAGGCATCTTGTTGATTTGAGTCTTCTCTGAAGTCAGAGTCATGGAGCAAGGGGACACGGGTGGCGCCCTGCTGTCCTGCCCAAGTCCCGTGGGGGTCACGGCCCCGTGGGGGTCATGGCGGCAGGTTGAAGTCACGGCCTCCAGGGTCCCCCTCTCCACCTCGTGGGGTGAGAAGTTGGGGACCTGGCTTAGACTCGGGAGTTCACTCCACCCTGGGGACTGGTCACCGGTCCCCTAGTTGTGATGACACAGGTGCTTGGGTCCTCGGCCCCTCAAATCAGCCCTCCCCACTTGGAGCCTGCTGTCCAGGCTTTGCTTACTGAAAGTGTGACATGTGTGGCCCGAGCCTAGGGCTGAATTCCAACGTGGCTGTGCTCTGGACGGCCACGCACTTCCCCCGTCAGGCTGCAGCGGTGTGTGTCAGAGGACTACGCAGGCTGGGCCCTCACTTTGGAGGGTGCTGGAAGCTCATGGCTGGTTTAGGACCCACTTCACAGACAGTGACCAGCTTCCGGGAGGAGGGCCTGTCCTCCACAGAAGCCTCTGTTGTTGCCATCTTGAAATTCTTTTTTTTTTTTTTTTGTCAGTTGTGGGACTTGAACTCTGGGCCTGGGTGCTGTCCCTCAGCTCTTCAGCTCAAGGCTAGTGCTCTACCACTTGAGCCACAGCGTCACTTCTGGTTTTCTGAGTGATTTATTGGAGATAAGAGTCTCACGGACTTTCCTGCCTGGGCTGGCTTTGAACTGCGATCCTCAGATCTCAGCCTCCTGAGTAGCTAGGATTACAGACGTGAGCCACTGGCACCTGGCTATGTTCTTTTTTTTTTCTTTCTTTCTTTTTGTCAGAGGTGGGGCCTGAACTCTGGGCCTGGGCGCTGTCCCTCAGCTCTTCAGCTCAAGGTGCTCTACCACTAAAGCCATAGCACCACTTCTGGCTTTTTCTGCTTATGTGGTGCTGAGGAATTGAACCCAGGGCCTCATGCATGCAAGGCAAGCACTCTACCACTGAGCCACCTTCCCAGCCTTGAAATTCTTAGTTTTTGTGTGTGTACAAGTACATGTGCATGCATGCACAGACTTGAACTCAGGGCCTTGTGCTCTTACTTGGCTATTTGTTCAAGGCTGTCACACTACCACTTGAGCCACAGCTCCACTCTGGCTTTTTAAAAAAAAATCTGTTTAATTGGAGATAAGAGTATCATAGATTTTTCGGCCTGGGCTGACTTAGAACCTTAATCCTCAGATTTTAGCCACTTGAGTAGCTAGGATTACAGGCGTGAGCCACCAATGCCTGGTGTCATTTGCGTTTTGAACTATCAATTTTTTTTTAAATTTAAAAGGCAAATATGGAGAGTGAGGGAAAGGCTGCCATTGTCCAAAAATAAATATACTCTTTACCTGACTTAGGTAATTGTAACTCCTCTGTACATCACCTTTATAATAACAATAATTTTTTAAAGCAAATATGGTTTTTATCCTAGAGAAATGCATTCCAAGACACCCAGTGGATGGCCGAAACTGGATAATACTAAAACTGACAAACGTGCCTGTCGGATACACACACAGCTGTGATAAAGCTCAGTTTACAAATAAAGCCCAGCAAAAGCTTAACAACTGATGATAAAATAAGACAGTCACAGCAATATACGGTAATAAAGGGTACACGGCTGTATATTTCAAATTTCTTGCTGTGTTGAGAGGCAAGGAGGCAGTGTCTGTTGATGGGATACAGAGCAGAAAGGAAGACCACTGTGACAGTCAGGCCACTGTGCCAAGATGACTCCAACACAAGCGCTTGATCTTCTCGAAGCACTGTGATAACGGGGTGATCATATGATTGCTGGATAGAGCAGGTCGCCTATTCGGGGCGAATGTGCTGGATGAAAGAGTGATTCACATCCTGGGTGGGACAGCATGAGATTTCGCCACCCTCCTCAGCTTCTCACATGCTTTCCGAGCAGTCAACTGTTCATTTCGGAAATGTTCAGTGTAATTGTTCTGGCCCACAGTTGCCTGTGGGCAATGGAAATGGAAGAAAAGGAAATCAGGGACCCAGGGGGATGCTGCCCCATAAAGGATAAAATTTAAAAAATGAAGGCACATTTACTGGTTGTGCACATTTAGGAGTGGTCCACCTGCCCTCAGCAGTGCCCGAGCTGATGGGTACGTACCCACCCGCCAGTCCCTCTGCACGCTGACCGGCGGTGTATATGCAAAGATGCCACCCCCTGTGGAGGATACACCCCTGCAGGACACAGGTAGGGCTGTCAGCTGTCCCACTTGGCTGCCACACTCCCGGGCTAGGTGGGAAGGGCCCGGAGAGGGGCTCCTGAAACTCCCTTGCCTGCTACTCCAGGAAGCAAATCTTTGGAGCCTGGTCCTAGGCTAGCACTCCCAGGGTCTGCTTGGAACTTCAGAAGGGAAGGTGGGAGCCATGTCTGTGGTGGGCATGAACGTGACCAGTGGAGGTCCTAAAGGCTCGCCTTGTCCACCTGCTGCAGGCCAGGCTGCCCTATCTGTGCTCTCCAAAGCAGAAGAGAAGAGGGTGGCCTTAGGATCTGCAGGGAGAGAGAAGCCCTGAGCTCTCCTGGCTCCTCCTCCTAGCATTTGTCTCCAATATCATTCTGATTCAAGTCTATTGCAGGTTTTCTTTTTCTTTTGCCAGTTTTTTAAGGTATTGAATTTTTTACCTCCTGTAAATTTGGGCTTAGCACCTCCAGAGCTTTCTTTGATCATTGGCCTGGACAGCATTTCCTGTGCAGCCTGGAAGCAAGTAGCACTGCTGCCCTCTGGTGGCCAGTTAGAAGAGCACAAAGGCACCTTGGGGGAACCGAGCTGCTAGAAAATGAATATCCTAGATAAAGAAAATGTGGTATATATACACAATGGAATTCTATGCCTCCATCAGAAAGAATGACATCGCCCCATTTGTTAGGAAATGGAAAGACTTGGAAAAAATTATATTAAGTGAAGTAAGCCAGGTCCAAAGAAACATAGGTCCCATGATTTCCCTTATTTGCAATATCTAGTATATGTCTGAGTCAGGCAGAAAAGGTCAGATAAGGTGATGTTAGAGAAATGAACCCTAAGATATGTATACAAATTTTTTTTTGTTTCATGCAATTGTTTCTAACACATTTATAAGATGATTTCTTTGTTGCTTTGTATGTCCCTCCCCACAGTATAACCCCTTCTTTCACTGCATTTGATGTAGGTATAATTTGTGGAGGGGAAGGGGAAAAACAAACCATTTAAATAGGGATGCAGGTGGACCCATTGCAACCATGAGATGTACAAGTCCTTATGTCGAAAAACGAACTTTACAACTTTGGTGGGGGGGGGGAAGAGGATGGGAAGGGATGGGAAGGGTAAACAAAGGAGGAGGCTGCAATGCTTGATAAGAAATGTACTCATTTTCTTGCCCATGTAATTGTAACCCCTCTGTACAGTATTTTCAGACAGACACACACACACACACAATGAATATCCTTTCCCGGTGCCTGGCCTCCAGAAAGCTGGCCCTCAGCCCGAGCTTTACTATTCCCTCTCCTGAAATGCTCTTCCTCCAGCTCTCTCAGGTGGCACCCGCTCTCAAGGCCAAAGGTCCCGTCCTCGGGGAAGCCCTTCTGGATGGACTACTTTGTGTAAAACAGCACTTCCTCCCAGCCCGTCCCGGGGTCCCACGTTCACGTTGTGCGTGGCATTTGCCTGCTCTCTGGGAACACCTGCTCCCGTGCTGTGGCTTGCTCCGGGAGGCCAGGGCTGCTGTCCTGTTTGTCACAGGACCTCCGTGCAATGCATGTGGCAGGCACTTAAAGATACTTGCTGAAGGAAGAAACAAATGCATATCAGCAACAGCAACTGAGATATCAGTGCAGCCTCTGGGCCCCCAAACCATACTCTGATATGCACAGGGCACCGGTCACCCCCATCTAACACAGACACACCCTTGGGAATAAGCTGTGGAGCCTTGAGCAAGGAGGAGGGGGAGAGAGCCCCTGACAGCTGGTCCTCCGGAGCAGAGGGAGTCTCAGGCCTCTGCCAGCAGGGGAGGCAGCCCCAGGCCCTGGGTGGGGATCTCACACCCTTGCCCTTTGGTCTGGTTGCTGTCCAAAGCTGTGTTAGAGAATCTGGGGGTGTGCCATGGGAAGGGTGGAGGAGGTCTGCATGTGAGGAGGTCATCGGTGGGAGCAGGAGCCATCAAGTCTCTTGGGACTTCTCCAGGGCCCAGGTTTACCTGGGACATTCTAGGCTTCATCCAGGCCCCTGAGGGCCCGGCCCTGTCCTCTCCGCAGTCCGCCCAGGCAAGGGCTGCTCTGATTCTGGGTTCAGCAATGGGCAAGAGCTCTGGCTGCAGAGCCTCTTGCTTATTAGCTGGACACAGGCAGGCAGCGGAGTAGGGGGTTCGAGCCTAGCAGGAGCAGGCTCTGGGCATCCTGAGCTCAAGCTGGACATCAGCAGCACCTGCTCCTTGGCTGGCCTGGCGAGAGCTTGATGGAGTCCATGAGGTGGTTTTCTAGGATGCCTTGGTACTAAGGAGGGAAAGAAGAGTCAGTGATTGGGGCCCGAGCACAGTTGTTCCTCCTCCTCCTCCTCCTCCTCCTCCTCCTCCTGATCCTGGGATTAGAGCTCAGGGTCTCATGCTTGCTGGGCAGGTACTACCACTTCAGCTCCAGTTCACTTTTCTCTCCCTTTCTTTCTCTTTCTTTCTTTCTTTCTTTCTTTCTTTCTTTCTTTCTTTCTTTCTTTCTTTCTTTCTTTCTTTCTTTCTTCCTTCCTTCCTTCCTCTCTCTCTCTCTTTCCTTTAGTTTTTTTTTTTCAGGTAGGTTCTCCTGTTTTTGCTCAGACTAGCCTCAGACCACCATCCTCCTCCCTTTACCTCCTGAGTAGCTGGGACTACGAACATGTGCCACCAAGTCCAGCTTCCTTTGTTGAGGGGAGGTCTCCCTAACCTGTGACTAGATTAGACTGGTTCCTCAGCTCTCCTTCCCCAGGAGCTGGCGTTCAGGTAGAAGCCATGGAGCTCAGCCCTTTGCTCTGCTTTAATGGCTTGGGCAGGCTTGTCATCTTTCATTTTCTATGGTATTGTTGAGAAACTGAGGCCCAGAGGAGGAAGCCACCGACTTCCTACCCTCCTCTTTCTCCTCTGTTCCCCTCCTCTTCCCAGAAGCTCAGAGCAGTTCAGTGGCCAGATTTGGAGGCCAGGCCTCCTGACCTGCAGCCAGATCTCACACTTGCCATTCACCAGAAGGGAGAACTGAGGCCACGTGTTGATTCCGACAGAGACTATGATGACTCACTCTGTTGCTTCTGCTGGAGAGCTCTCCCTCCCCCCACCTTCCCTGTGCCTGGCTGACCCCACCCTCTTCTCTCTGGGAACCTGAAAGAGCCCCACGGCTCCTTTCCTCTGTCCTTCAGTCACTTCTTGGCCCTTCTGCCTCCCTGCCCTCTCTCCCGCACCAGCAGGGGACAGGGGGTGGGGGCATGTGTGTGTGTGTGTGTGTGTGTGTGTGTGTGTGTGTGTGTGTGTGTGTAGGGCAGGCTCTTCGCCATCAGACAAGTTCTGGGCCACTCTGCTGACCTTTTCCCCATCAAGAGATCCTTCCTTAGGATCTGGGGGGTGGGTAGGATGGTAAGGGGACTTCTTCAAGGCTATGGGCTCCACAGGCTGAAGGATTTCATTTTCAAGCAACCCTGGGACCCCTTCCTTTGCGGTGCTTTTGGCTGCTTAATGGGATGTACAACCTATTCTTTTGCCAAGAAAGGATGTTAACGAAAGAACAAGTATCCCATGTTGGGGTGGGGGGTGGGGGAGCTCACGCCTGTAATCCCAGCTACTCAGGAGGCTGAGATTTAAGGGTCACAGCTTCAATCCCGTGGGGGAGGGGGGGCAGGAAAGTCCAGAAGACTGTTATCTCCCATAAACAAACCAGAAGTAGAGCTGTGGCTCAAGCTTTGAGCACAAAAAGCTCAGGAGTTCAAGCCCCAGGAGCTAGCACATATGCAAAAGAATAGCATTGGGAAAAGCCGGGTCCCTGTGGCTCCCTCCTGTAATCCTAGCTACTCAGGAGGCTGAGAGCTGAGGATCACAGTTCAAAGCCAGCCCAGGCAGGAAAGTCTGTGAGATTCTTATCTCCAATAAAACACTAGAAAACTGGAAGTGGCGCTGTGGTTCAAGTGGTAGAGCGCTAGCCTTGAGCTGAAGAGCTGAGGGACAGCGCCCAGGCCCAGAGTTCAAGCCCCATGACTGACAAAAAAAAAAAAATAATAGCATTGGAGCCCTGAACCTGCTTTGAGACAGCTTTCTGTTCCTGACCCCCTTTCTCCTCCCTCCCTCCCCCACAGGACAGGTTGTGCCCCGGCTCCACCCTGTGCCCCCCCCCAAGTCCCACCTTGCCTTTACTAAGTCTTGTCTATTTGCAGTAGCCATGTTTCAACCACTCCTGCGACGCCCGCGGGTGCCGGGCACACATGCCCCCTGCTGGCTGGGCTATCCCAGCTGGGGGGCTCAGGCTGTCCCCCTTTCTGATTGGAGGAGTTCTTCCGCCTGGACAAATGCTTGGTCCTGTGGGGCTTCTGTTCGGCCCATGGCTTCAGGGTGAGGCTCAGATCTGGAGTTTTCAGATGCTCTCTAAAGGATCTTGGTAGCTAGTGGATAGGGGACCCCTAACTACTTACCCTGAGCCCCTTTTGCCTCTGGATCTGGGGCACCAGCCATCCTGAGCCCCCTTGCAATGAGTTCAGTAAGGCGACTGATACTCCTGTCCCCCTCCACCACTCCTGTCCTCCCCACATCCCCACCACTACCCCCATCTTCTGTTCTGCACACCCCCCGGCTGGAATCATAACTCAGGGACCGCTCACCCTGGCCAGAGCCCGGGCTGCCAGCACCTCGAAGGCCTGCACCACGTTGATGTCGCTCTTGGCGCTGACTTCGAAGTAGGGCATGTCATTCTCCCTGCACCAGCCTCGGGCCACCTCCTGAGACACCTGAGTGGGGGGAGGAGGGAGAAGGGGTCACCGCTCCTGTGACATGCTCGCGGCCACGCACCGGGGTCACCACCGCGCTCCCAGTGCGCATGCCCCCTCCAAACGCAGGTGCCAGTCAGCCCCCAGGGTGGCCTCGGAGAGTGGGAGCAAACTGTCAAGATGGGGTTACACCGTTCGCGTGCTCTTGAGGTTGGGTTGCTACTCGGATGCTGGGCTCGTAAAGGGAGGCTGCCCCTAGGCTGGTCCCCGCTTCTTCCTCTCACTGCCCCAGGGATTCTAACAACGACGACGAGACTGTGAGCATCATGTCCTCACCATGCTCACTATCCTCCCCTCCACCGCCATCCTCACCTCTTTATCCCCAGCATTACCGCCCTTACCGCCTTCCTCAGCGCCATCCATCGCCCGTCACTACAGCCCTCACCTAGCCACTCTCGCTTATTGAGTGAGTCTACGTGTCTCCTACATTCTCAACAGGAATCTACAATATGCGGTATTTGGGCGGCACTGTTTCCCAGATGAGGGGCCTGAGCCTGGAGAAGCAAGCCCAGAGTATTCGGGGCTGAGCAGGATTCCAACACAAGGCAAGGCAGAATCAGACCTCACTGCACCTGCTGTCCTCCTAAGGCCTGAACCAGAACATTCTTCTTGCCATTGATGCCTTCAAGCCCTTCCAAAGGGAGGGGGCCATACTGGACCCTAGCCAGGAAGGGACTCCCACCCCGTGCCTGTGCTGGCTGGGCAGACCCAGGCTCCGGAGGCCTGGGTCCCCTTGAGTGGTATTCCAGCGGGCCCAGGATGTCCACGGACTGTCCCCAGTCACAACTCCTCTGGCGTCCACCACCACTGCCCTGGCACTGAGCGGTTTGCAGCCTCGGACAAGGGGCTGAGGACCAGGGTTAGCTACACAGTTGCGCTTTGGCCTCTACCTGGTCAGTCTCCCAGGTACTGTGGCTGTGAGCAGAGGAGGGAGAATCCCCAAGCCTTGGTCTCAGGCTCTGGTCTCCAGCTCCTCTTGGAGCTTAGGGCGGAGGGACCCCAGCCCTGGCTCTGGATGCTGTCTCCTGTGGGACAGAGGTGCTCAAGAGCTGTTGAGCAATCAAGGGCCAACCTTCAATGCACTAGAGAGGGGGGAAAATCCCTGGGTTGAAAAAAAAATGTCCCCAAGGTACACTAGGTAAAAACTGGTCTATGTAACTTGTAGGTAGGGATGGAAGTGGGGAATTTGTTCTTCCCCCAGTAAGAATCAATCAGATGAGCATTGGAAATGAACACCCCTTATGACTTGATAGCATCTGAGGTGCTCAAAGGATTTTGTATCTTTCAAAGTATTTGAGGCCAAAGTCTTGACTTAGATTTTTCTTTTTTGTCGGTCATGGGGCCTGAACTCTGAGCCTGGGCGCTGTCCCTGAGCTCTTCAACTCAAGGCGAGCGCTCTACCACTTGAGCCACTTTCCCTTTTCTGGTGCTCCATTGAAGATAAAAGTCTCACAGCTTTTCCAGCCCTGGCTGGCTTTGAACTAGGATCCTCAGATCTCCAGCCTCCTGAATAGCTAGGATGACAGGTATGAGCCATTGGTGCCTGGCTGGACTTAGATTTTTTTTAATTTTTTTATTTTAATACCTCCTTCCTTCTTTATGTCTGGCCTCCTGCCCAGACCCTCACCTCCTCAGGTGCTGTGCATTTAAGGAGGCTCATGATTGGAGTTCAGGAGTTGCCATACACATTGCGGTGGAGTAAAATGGTATAAAGTGACTGCTTCTCCAGAGAACAGAGGATGCCTTGTGTTTTCTGCCCACCTCGCCTTCAGAGCTGGTGTGGGAAGAAAGCCACTGAAGATAGCTTTTCCATTGTCACCTATGCAGTGATGGTTTTATGACTTTTAGAATCACCTTATCTTTTATTTATGAAGCACAAAAGTTATTTATAACTTAGGCTCTGGCAATATATTTGGGATGTGGCATTTGGGGATATGGGAGCCATGAAAAATTTACAAGTTGTAGCTTCCATGAATTTTCCCCTAGGGGTAATAATGAGCTATGAACACTTTTAGTTTTGCACATTCATTGGAGACCAAATGTTTAATAAAGTCAGGCTAGTTTGTATTATTTTACTTGTGATGCTTTTCTAACTCAATACATTAAAATGACTGATGATACAAGTTTAAAATTAGCATGTTTAATACTAAGTGGTAAACCACTAAATCATCTCTAAAAATAGCAATCAAGTACCACAAATTATTATTACTATTTTTTTTTTTTTGCGTCTGGTCGTGGGGCCTGAACGCTGGGCCTGGGCGCTGTCCCTCAGCTCTTCAGCTCAAGGCTAGC